GGGCGCCCCTGTGCCCCGCGCGGCAGGGCGGGTGTCGAGCTGACCGTCGTGTTTCCCGGGCCCCGAGCGGCCGCGGGGCGACGTCCCTCGGATGCGTGTCCTCTGCTTGCTTTCAGTGCGGCCACGAGGAGCACGTGCTGCTGGCCGACCTGCGGCGGAAGTGGCAGAGCCTGTGCCTGCCCGTGGGGCAGCTGCGCGCGCTCCTGCGGCTGGAGCCCTGCGAGGAGAAGATCGAGTGGACGAAGTTCCTGGCGCTGGGCTGCAGCGCGCTGGGCGGGGTACGTGCCGCCAGCCGCTCGGCCGTCCCAGTGGCTGGAGGAAGCAGGGCCCGCCCTTTGGGGTTCCCATACTGTAATGTGGTCCGGGTGGAAGGGTGCAGAGCACGTGAGTTCCGTGTGCAGCGAAGGTTCCACGGTGTTGGCTGTGGTGCCTGCCCAGGGTCAGCACGCCCATCTCCACCCGCGCCCTGTTCCCGCCCTTTGCCCGCCTCTCCTGCCTCCTCAGCTCGGCCCTGGGCACATGCTGCCCTTTCGCTCCCGTGTGGTTGGCGGTTCTGAGAAGCGCTTTCCTCCCTGGTGGTGGTCTTTACCTTCTAGGCCTGTCTGTTGTCTGGCTGAAAGGCCATCCCGGGGCTGGGTTTGGTTCCAGGTCTGAAGGGTGTCTGAGGGCTGCGGTCTCGGGGCTTGCCATTGGACCCGGAAGTGAACTTGAGTGTTGCCCCACCTCTTTGTCCCACACGCCTGCACCTTCTACTGCGATCCCGGTCAGCTGGGCACCAGCTCGTTCTTCTCGGCTCAGGCTGTGGCCCCACTTGGATTCTTTTAGTGTCTTTGTCAGGCGCCTGTTAGCTGTGTTGGCTTTTGGTTCTTTGAATTTCCAGTGGGAGGTCCTCAGGGATCCCTCCCATTAACAGATGAGGACATCCAGGGCTGCTGGTGAACATCTGAGGCCTGGGTGTAAAAGGGACATGCAGTGGCTTTGGAATTTCTTCGTAAAGTCACGTGCCCTCAGGTTGGCGTCTGCCGTAACTGACTGAACCCGGGTTGCAGCTCTGCCGGTGTTAGTGGTTACCACCAGCTGAGGATGCAGTGAGCAACTCTCCCTTCACCAGGGGCCAGGGTTGTGCACCGGGCTCGGGTGGCCGGGAGGGTGCAGCTGGGAGGGCTGGGTGACAGGTGCGCAAGTGTCCGCAGCCCCTTGCCACCCCCCACGTCAGCTTCCACCGAGAACTCAACCATTACGCCGCAGGTGATGCATGGGATCCCCTGCCTTCTCTCCAGACCCAGAGGGCATGGCTGGGCGGCGTGTGGTTCCTGCTTCACGGCTGGCGCTCAGCT